TGCAACGATGAATATAAAAGACGTCAAATCGCCACTACGTATAAAGGCTGAAGAGGAAGAATGCGCTTCAGGTGGAAATTTTCTACTTCTGCTTTGCCTAAGAATGTCGTGCTGAATTCTTTAAAAGTTACGGTCAAAAAGTTACGCGCCGAGAATGGCGTGGCACGTATTCAACCGTGGAGTTCCGAAAATTACTCTCGACGTCCGAAGTTTCCAAATTTGCCGAGATTCGTGCGACAACGTCGTCAGCGTCGCCTGCAAAGTTATGGAGATACGTGAGATATCCTCGGACTGTTGCGCGAATGATTGTGCACGTATAAAGACGCGATGCTATCTTTTGTGTTTCCACGTTGAATATGCGATGACATTCTATTAGAATTATATTAGTTGCTTTAACATTGTTATATATGTGTTTATACATATGTTATAGATATCTTTATACTCTTTTTTTTTAACAAAAATAAATGTCTTTGTTTACTTTTCATTTATTACTATACTATTTCAGATTGAAATTTCCAAAACGGAGAAAGTGTACAATAAAAATTCTTGCAAAATATATTTAAATACTAATATTTTTTAACAAAAATATTTAAAAACATTTAAAATTGATAAAATAAACTTACAATATATATAAAAGATTAACTTTTTCTTTTGGCAGAAATTAAATCGTATTTGTTATTATATATTATTAATTTGATAGTAATAGCTGTAAGCATAGTTTTATTTTGTTTTTGATTATATATTATACATACATATACCTATACATATATATATTTGATCATATATTATACATACATATATACATATATTTCCATTTTGAAGTGAAAATATTCCTAACAACGTCTTTGCAAACCGATGAATAGGACGATCTACCCCATAGTCATCACGATCTCCTAATCTTAATCCATTAGATTTTTATTTTTGAGGACATTTAAAATCTATTGTGTATTCAACACAAACACACAACACATCAGTAAACAATGTGGATGATCTGCGAGAAACAATACGTAATAGAGACTATTCGAAGAATACCTGGAATTTCTGAACGAATGAGGAACTCAATGCTAAGACGTATAATAGCGTTACGTGTAATAGCGTACGTGTGTTGACGCATAAAACGGACATTTCGAAGATTTTCTTAATCATCCAAAACTTGAAAACTAAGGTATAAACATACGTTTATATGACGTTTCTTTATTTATTTTAGTGTATAGATTTACCTCCTAAAGTATTGACATATATTCATAAAACACTCTGTATAGACACATACACAGGGTGTATCTGAAATGACGCCCACTAATCATATACCCAGCAAACGTAACTTGGCACTGTTATATAATTTTTTTGCCATTATTCAGACTCTGTTTTATAACAACAAGACAGCTTTATGACATAAACGAGATATTATGATATAAATATAATAATTTTATTACATGTCTTTGTTATATATTTAGTACATAACATAATTATGTAAATTAAACGTAATTAAGTTACATCCATATACCATTCTATGAATAAGACATAACAAATACAAAATACATTTATGTCACTAAGCCATAATGGAAATAATACATGTTTTGGTTACATCTGCAGAAGTGTATACTGTAGTTTGTAATAGTTATATCATTAAAATTATGAGATTATATTTTTCTAAACAATTACGTCACTACGATGTAACATAATTTCATAAATTATACGTCACTTTTTCAGTGTTTTCAGAGCATATTTTATTATATTCGTTTTTGCACTTTGAGAGAAGTGACTTTATTATATAAACATATTAAGGGACAACAAATGATAAATTGATAAGAAAACGATCGATGAATAAGTACTATTGCAAATTATTTCTCATTATTCGTCAATATAACAAATAATCAAAATAATTAGTATCGCTAGCAAATAAAGTCTATCCAAAAGATAGATTAGGTTCTATATAGTTTGCTTCTATTATGCTATCAGTGAATTATTTTTATACAATTAGATAATATATACAATTGTAGATTTATCCTTTACAGATACAAAAATATAAAGAATAAGTATTTAATATGGATTGATCATTATCATTTCCTAACTAAGTGAATAAATATTAGCGTATTATTTCGTTTCCATGTAATCTTTTCAAATATTAATAATATTAGACTGTCAGCAGAGGCATGAAATTAAGAATGATTACAGTAAAAAGTATAAGTAACATTGGCAATGTCTCGATCACAAGCGTGCGATTAGCTCGACGTAAATGTATTAGGCTACTATTTTAGGGATCGTTTCAAATCTTGGTGGTGATACAATGCGTTTTTTAATAATTAATTGTAAGAAGATAAGAATGTTAAGAAGATAAGAATATAGGTATGCAAAACAGTAAATAATAAATTGAACTGAAAAAACAAAAATAAATAATAACAAAAAAATTATTTTTTTCGTTAAGATATAACCGTAAACTTTTTATTACATAAAAAAATAGTTTTTATTTAAAAAAATTTTTTGTTATA